GCCTTTGTATGCTCTGGCCTTCTTCAGGGGGTTGGAATGTTGAACTGAGCCCTTGATACCCAAGCTGGCGAACTTTCCTTCCTGGACCACCCCTGAGTGTATGGATAGCTGCTGATAAGTCTTTGTCCATCTTTGACCAGGCCCTATCCACAGAGTAAGGCCACTTGATAACTTGGCGACTGGAATCAGCTTCCAAAGTAAGATCCCAAAGGATGCTGTGATGTTCATCCTGGTCCCAAGACTCTGATGACTTATCGACTACTGCCGTATTTTTCTTTGTTACTGAATACCTGCCACATTTCATCTTGGTCTGGTGTATCTTGTGAGCCTTTGTTCACTTGAAAAATCTTTTACAGCCATCACACTCATGCTGGCTCTCATGGCTGTCATTATGAGATTGTCTATCCGCTTTTGAACCCCTTGTAATTGTAGCTAGCTGGTTTTACATCAGACATCATGCCCTGCAAACTTATCACTACCGTTACTGCATTATCATGGGTAGCACTATGCTTTTATGGTTGTCACTGGAGAACCAGAGGTAGTAGACATGTGTACACATCAAGTGCTCCAGACCAGCTGCAATGGTCAGCTGAGGTTCCAACCCATTAAGCTCATCATTTTCACACACACACACACACACACACACACACACAGTGCAGCAGAAATACCATCCAGATTTTAAACTATCATCTATATGGTGCTAGAGATCTTAGGCAAGTGACAATGGTGTCTTTATGTAGCCAATGTCTTTATCATTATGTGGGAAGTATTTATGCTGCACTGTGTGTAATATATATATATATATATATATATATTATATATATAATGAAATGGACAAAGTCTGACAATTATTTTTTAAGTCATTTATTTTTTTATGTTTATACATTCTTTTTATAGATACAAATATTTAAATAAATGCTCTGTTTATAATAAACAGTATTAACCACATTTACCAGTCTGAATGTCCGAAAAATTTTTATAGAGGACAGATATATTCTATGAAAATTTCTCGGACATTCAGGCTGGTAAATGTTGTTAATACTGTTTATTAGAAACAGAACATTTACTTAAATATTTGTATCTATAAAAAGAACGTATAAACATAAAAAAAATGTCTTAAAAAATATATATATAATATATTTAGTTGGATTGATGTGAATTGCAAACACATGTTTTCAATAATAAAAAATAATCAGTTTGTCTGATGATCGCAAATAGTGTGAAACCCAGGGTCACAAACTCGCATCAAATATATTAGCTCTACCAATGATATTGAGCACTTTCCAATAAGTACCATGCATATATAATATATAAATAATATATATAAAAAATTGTATGTATGTATATATATATGTATATATATATAAAGTCAGTCTGTTTCATACTTAGATGTAATTGTCAGGCCATAACAATTGCACATAAGCATGAAACAAACTGTTGCTTCTCGATGTTGACATCAATGTCCACTTTTATATTTATATATGCTCTATCCTTGATATTGAGCACTTTTACCCATAAATATAGCATACTTTAAAAATATATTTCATCATATATATATATATATAAAACCATGTCATTAACTGTAGAAACCATTTCTTTTTAGATTAAACATTATATTTAAAATCTCAGTTCACAAGTCCTTATTTTCTGCCTAAAGTAGGAAATTGAACAATTAATTTTGTGTTATTTTTTTTTTGTGTGTGTGTGTATATATATATATATATATATGAGAGAGAGAGAGAGAGAAAGAGAGAGGTCTGTATATACCCAATTTTTTAAAACATTTAAGGCTTCTCTTTTTTGTTAACATGTACAGACATGTTTTTTTTTTATATAAATGCTTTCTTTGCTGTTATTTGTCTAAACATGTTTGACAAAAATATACAAATATTCTTTTTGTCTAGCCCAATGTTTTGTATCTTATTTGTAAGGTGCTCAAGTTGTTTTAAGAAACTTTTTTCTTCCAAAAAGTACCCCTCCTCCACTTTCTTAAATGCCTTAACCTTTCCACAAATGAATGCTATTACACACCAGAGTTAGCAAAAATAATATCCTTCATACTATGTTCTTACCACTAATAAACTGCTATATAATCCAGTTTGCTTGAGACAACTTGAGTGTGACAGTGCTGCCATTAATAGGAGATTGACATTGACTCATTTATTGACAATGAAGACCAGAGATTCTTTCTTCTCCCACTCCAATCAACAGGGTGGGGAAGTGGCGATATGGGACTCCTACAATGTCTAATGTTGCCATTTTTATTTTTTTTATTTATTTGTGGTACTTGATATTATAAAGCCTAAATATCAAGAATATGCATGACATATGCTCCAGTTTCAAATGAATTGTGATCTAACAATCATAAAGAAATATTGATCTTTGATAATGGCTGACTGTCACTTTTTATTGATTTCCCATCCAGTATATTCAAGTTTGAAATGACTTTCTTTGTCAATTTATTTGAGTTGAAATGGAATCAAATATGTCACAAAACAAATAGAAATGAATGGAACGAACGGGAATCAGTTGGAAACATTTACAGACAGGGTGCCAGAAAATAAAATAGTGGAGGCTAAATCAGGTGTCAAAAGTGTGTGGTGGGCCAATTGAAGATTTTTCTTTGGATTTTATCAAGAATCTTTAAATATATAGCAGAAGCACCAGACCAGATGTGGCAGCAATATTCAATGCATGGATAAATAGAAGCTACATTACGGTGAAGGGGAAAGTGACTGAAACCAAGATGCCAAGTCAGGACCAATAACATTGCAGATCCTTTATTAGATTTTATCAAGAATCTCTAAATATATAGCAGAAGCACCAGACCAGATGTAGCAGCAATATTCAAAGCAAGGATGAATGAAAGCTACATTACGGTGGTGGGGAAAGTTACTGAGACCTTTTGACTTTTTTATGCATATGAGACAGTGATTTTCAACCCTTTTATTTTTTTTTTGCCGAATGCACCTTTTTTCTCCATAAGTTAGAATGTCATCTAACCCCTTTCCAAGATTCTCTCACTCAAAAGGTGCATTCCAAATAATATGCATATATTATTGAAAATCTTTATTCTTTTCCATATTATTACATAGACATTTACATAGATTATTTTCATAGAGTAGGTTTAAAATTCCTGATTCTATATATATATATTTTTTATCAGATCTTAGTAAATGAATAATTTTTTTTCAGATCTATTATCCTGCTGTAAACATTTTTTTCTGTTTTCATTTTAAAAAGATACTTGTTGATTTTTGTTTCTTCTTCTTATGGAATCTGTGGGGAAAATAGAAACGGCCTACCTCACAAACGCTCTCGTATCTGTCTGGCCTGTGGGTTGAGAAAGGAAACTAAAAAGATCCAAGATGGCGTCCGTGACTTTTTAATATTCACGGTCTCGTGCAGTCACGCATAAAAGTCAATTTACCTTACACATGCTAATGAGGTGTGTCTGGGCTCCATAAATTTCAAAAATTTTTGGAGACATTGGCAGACCAACATTACAATTTGCTTGGTGTACATTTTTTTGCGTTGCACATTGTCAGACATTTTTCAGATGGAAAGAGTTCGTCCCCTTACACTGTTGAAGTCGACTCATTTGCTACAGAATCCTAAGATTCCCCACCCCACATAAGACTTATACAGATATTTTAGAAGCTAATATTTCAAAATAAAAGTTAAAATAATCAATGAAGTTTTGATTTATTTTGAAACTTTAATGGCAGTGATGATTTTAGACACAAATGATAGAATTCAAGGGAAGCCAAGAAGACAAATTTAGTTTTCTATTTAGTGCTCAATTTGAGCAAAAAGTGGTGGAGTTGGATCTCTGTAGCCCCCACCTCCCAGCATCATGCATGTACACAGTTCATAGTATGTATAAAATAAAGCAAAATGTGAAAAGTTGGAAATTAAATAACATTGGGATTAAATTCATTTATTTCGAATTCCTACAATTTAAATTAATTGTCAAAGAATGAATCCAGTAAAAAATGTTACAAATTCAAGAAAAAATAAACTTATAATTTATTTTCTGTTTATATCACTGAGATGAGGTCTTTTAATTATTTACATTATTTAGAAGGTTGTTCTCATCTTTATTGCCATATTCACAACATTTTGGCTGTTGTATGCTTCAGCCTTCTTCATTTCTTGATATTTCTTGGAACTTCGAACTGAACCCTTTTATTTTATTTATTTATTTTTGTAACTTGGGCTATCAATTCAGCAAGCGGGATGAGGAATGAAAATGAAAGAAAATGACCAGTCAAAATGAATAATGGTTGATAATACTTCATCTAAATAATGTTAATGTTATCTTCTGTTTTCGTAATTCCTGTTCTTTTCTTGTTGTCACTTCTTAATAATGTTTTTCTTATAGTCTTTCATAATCAGTAACCCCCTGCGTCTTAGTGACTTTATTTCCTTGCCTGGAGGTGAAATGATTAAAAAAAAAAAAAAAATGAAGCTAGCCAAAATTGATGAGATTATATGAAGAATAATGAAAAGACTTCAAGTCTGAATATCAAGCAAATTACTACTACAAAAAAAAACTAAAACAAAAAAAAAAGTAGTCAACAATACAGTGTGGAATAGTCAAAAGAAAAAATGAGAACTCCGCCTTTTTATAACTGCGCTTTGGTAGCTGAAATAGTAGAAATTTACATGAATGACAAGAAGCTACTTTATTTTATTTCTCTTCAGAAAATGGTTTGTGGTTTAGTGACTATTAAAAGTGGAAACTAGTCATCGATGTAACCCACATCCAGCAATATACACTTGGTTGCTTGCTTGGTTTGATTAGGTTAAGTAAACAGACTTTTACAACCACCCACCCACAACCTACCCACTTGATGAATGGCCATCTGCAAGTTTCTCACTCTTGTCTTGACTTGCACAGTTTCTTGTATTCCCCACCTCCTTACCAGTCTATTTCTGCTTCTGGTCCAAAACGTCAAGAACTTTATGCAAGCACATGACTTGATGATACATGCAAAATGATTAAAATCTTTCTCTCTCTCTCTCTCTCTCTCTTTCTCATCATCACTTTCTCTCATCGTCTTTCTCTCCCTCATCATCTCTCTCTCTTTCTCTTTCTCATTGTCTCTCTGTCTCTCACTCTCATCGTCTCTTTGTCTCTCACTCTCATCGTCTCTTTGTCTCTCACTCTCATCGTCTCTTTGTCTCTCACTCTCATCATTTTTTTGTCTTTGTCTCTCGTCTCTTCTCTCTCAAAATATCTCTTTGTCTCTCCTCTCATATTTCTCTTTGTCTCTCACTCTCACCGTCTCTCACTCTCACCATCTCTCTCTCATTCTCTTTTTCACTTTTCTCTCTTTTTCACTTTTCTCTCTTTTTCACTTTTCTCTCTCTCTCATTATCTTTTTTTTTCTCTCTCTCTCATTATCTTTTTTTTCTCTCTCTCTCTCTCTCTCTCTTTCACCCTCTTTCATTATATTTTTTCTCTCTTTGTAAAATCATACTTACTAACATGGCAAATATAAACTACTGCAGATGAGCAATCCTTTGAATTATATCTTTTAGCATACCAAATTGATTAACACCTGGAATATGAGATCTTTTCTATTCTTAGATTTTTTGGAATAGTCTAAAATAAAATAAAAAAATATATATTATATTTTTACAAATGTTTAAAGAATTCAGAACAATTGACCTTTGATGTCATTTTCATCCATTCTTTGTCTTTTTTATTTTTGTTATTTTATTTATTTGTTCTTAAATGTTTCACATTTATTGTTGGTGTTGTTATTGGGTTACTTATTGTATTAGCATGTCTCAAAGTGTGGTTCACAGATGCCAATGTCCTCAAGGTGAAAACTGTTATATGTGCAATATAAGAAAATCACAAAGAAAATGGATTGTTTCCAAGGAGAATATAAATCCAGGGAGAACTCATTGTATAATTTTTATTTTGTGAACACTGCATTTGCAGAGGAGATTTTGTTCTGATGAGTTGAACATCTCTGTGTTCACAAAATAAAAGTTACAAACAAAATGGATAATTAAAGTCTCCATCTTCTTATCATTATATATATATATATAATACTTATTATAAAACCCAGGTTGTGTGTGTGCGCCTGTACGTTTATATATTAGATCAGATTTCCTACATTTTTCAACCGATTTCAACAAAACTTCACAGGACTTCGTAAAATTACCTTGCAGTGGTTCTGACAGTGCCAAAAATTGGAAAAACACAATTGTTTTTGCACAAAATCAATTTGAAAACATGATTAAGAGGCATCGTGAGAATGAAAGGGGACAACTCATATCAGTTATACTTATTATAAAACCCAGGTTGTTTGTGTGTGTGTGTGTGTTCATTTATATATGGGATGGATTTCCTACATTTTTCAACAGATTTCAAAAAAAATTTCACTTTTTTTTTTTTTTGGCAGGTAGTGTTTCTTATTGTCTTGCACACTTTTTTTCTTTATTTTACATTCAGAATGCTTTAAAAATTTCATTTACAAGACAATTGTTTATAATAAAATTCTATTCAATCGATAGACTCATAACGATTGAAAACAATTTTTTTGTTTGAGTTTGGGTTTGACCAACCAATTAAAAAAAAAAAAAAAAAAAAAAAAAAACTAATTAAGACATGCGTGTCCATCAACCTTAAACAATAATCTTTGTCAATTTTATTTTTCAGTCTTTATGATGGTCGATACTTGATCTATCTCTTACTGTTACATCCCCAGGCAACGCCGGGCTCTACTGCTAGTAATATATATATGTGTGTGTTTTTAAGTTAGGATATAAAATTTCCAATAAAGTTTTTAATTTGACAAATGGAAACATTTCATAAAAATAGATTTGATTATGCATTTTGTCATTCAAGGCTTCATCCAATCCCAAAATGACAGAATGAAATGTGTGTATGTGTATTTGTTAGCATGTGTAAATAATGAATCTTAGTAATTTTTCCCTAAGCTGGGGTTTCTTGTGATCAAAGAAGAAACAACAAAATGAATAACTTTTGAAAAAGTTGTTAAACTAAGAATTAAGATAAAGAATAAATATTAAGTTGAAAGTTGTCAATGTATTTTCCCAGCTTTTTTTTTTTATTTTATTGAATTAAAGGCAAAATCCTCCTCATACTACCAAAATTTATAAATATATATATATATATATATATATATATATATATATATATATGTCATCCACAGTGTTGTAAGTGGTTTCACAGTGGAGGCTTGTATTTGTACTAAGTCGGTCCTAAAATATAAAAATGTCAAAAAACGTTAGGAACTTGATATAATAGGTAATGACGTTGTGTAATCTAGTGGTGGTCGCTGATATTAATTTAGTATCCGACTAACAGTCGTCCGGCATCGACTGACTGATCAACTCATTTGAGCTAAATATGTATAATATCGAACTTATAAGTGGGAGAGTCTATTAACTATAGAATAGGTGTGTTCTACTATAACACACAGACTATTTTAAATTGTTTCACAGTTCTTCAGTGTGGCTAGACGTCCAGTTGCCTCTAGCTTTTTGAAACCTGACTGAATTGGTGTCAGTTGGAGATTCTACCACTAATTATTGGCCATTGTTAAGCAGGATGAAGGTGGATTTTAGCGTCTTTATTTTTATATAAACACACAGTGATGGACAGGACTCAATAAATAAATGTTTTTTGAAGAAGAGTCTTTATTATATCAGCCATAATATTCACTGTTTACAAACCCACACTTCCTCCCAAGAAATTTTCAACTGAAATTAATTTTTCAGGAGCCTATATAATGTCATCCACAGACAGACTGTTTCGCTGTTTCACAGCTCCATACACCAGGTATAACAGCAAAATTGTCCAAATTCTCTAACAGCAAAATTGCCCAATTGTTAGATTAAACTTTGAACCATTGTACCTTAGAAATGATTAAATATATCTTATTGGAATTCTCCAAGGTTTTATAACACTATTGGACTCTACTTTGAGCAATAAGAATGTATAATTACTCTCCAAGCTTAACAGAAGAATCGTGAATGAAAATGACATGTTCATCATTAAAATTAATCATAGGTAAAGATTGGAAGCTCATGAAGGATTGAAATAAAGTTCAAATATATATATATTCCATATATCATTTTCCAACTTATACAAGATGATTCAAGATGATCTCAAAACCTAACTTTCTGTCCTGGAGTAACAAAAGGTGCCTCACATTTTCATATGATTTCATTTTCAAGTCTTTTTTTCACTGCTCTTTGGACTGTCATAGCTGAAACTCCTCTCATGTGCCAAACATCTTCTGGATTGAGTTGGATCTTTTCTAAATGATCTCTTTAACTCTAAGTTGAAATGATGATCCCTCTTCTTGTGTGATCTCCTGATCCAGTTTTCCTCTCTACTGTTCCCTCTTTTAACTTATTCACCATTCTCTTGATGGTTCTTGAATGAACTTTGAAGATGGAAGCCAGAGTATGAATGTTGGTACCATTACTTAAGGCCTGAACGATTTTTTTCCTTTCACCATTGCCAGTGGAAGGCAGTGGGGCTGACACAAAATGATTTTAACCTGTTCACTTTCAAAGATTTTTTCATTGATTGTTATGACAAATGGTATCAACATGGCTAAATATCTTATCTGGAAAAAGAAACTCAATTAGTTTAGTGGTTTTTTAGATATTAAACATTGTGTGGGATGGACAATTATACTGTAACATGATTTGGACAATTTAGCTGTTACACCCCGTGTGTGTGTGTGTGTGTGTGTGATGATAATATACATTTTTATATATCAAGAACAATATTGGAGGAAAGAATGTATGACAAAGTGGAAGAAAGTTTTTGTGTGACACGTTTCGTCCATTACAACTTCATCAAACTAAATTTATTTTGGTGTGACTATATGCACATAAATGAGGGGGGATTTTAAATTTCATTTTTTTCTCTTAAGGAATCTAAATAAAAGATTATATGAACACAAAAGGAACATTTTACGAAACAATATATCAAACGCATTAGTTGCTCATCGTAACAAGACTGACCACAATTTTGACATAACAATGCTACTCTGATCAAAGGAGAAAATAATTCACTAAGACAAAAATCTCTAGAGAGTGCTTTGATCACAAGGTCATCCACATTAAATTTGTGCCCTGGCTCTTACATTTCACTATTCCTCATAGATCATCTATTATCAGAATGTGGGATATCTAATAAAAGATCTGATGGAAAGAAAAAGAATTGAAATGAAATCGACTAGATTATATTAAAAAAATTTTTTATCTAAAGTTCTCAACATCCCTCGTTCTTGCATATGTGTAGTTGCATCACTGTAACAAATGATTATATCTAAAAAATACTTAAAGTTATTACTTAAATTTTTTTTTATTATATTTAGATATACATTATTTTATATAAAATATATATAACGTCATCCACAGACAGACTGTTTCTTAACTGTTTACATCAAATTTGGCTAGACATCCGGTTGCCTCTAGCTAGGATCGAAACCCGACTGAATTGGTGTTTTTGTTTTTTCTTCTAACCAATAAGCCGTCAAATGCACGTGTAGGGATGAAGGTGGATTTTATTTATTTATTTTTAGAAACATGCCCAGTGATAAGACAGTGACTCGAAAATTTCTTACCTTAAAGAGTCTCGCTATATAGCTATAAATATATATATATACACACAATTAAATATAACAGACAGTGAATGTCTATTATGTCTGGTCATAAGCCATTCTAAAGTTCATATATTTTTTTAATTTGTGTTTTTTTAAAATAAAAAAAAAAAATTGTCCAACATTTAAATTTTTTTTTTATTAAGTTGTTATATATAATATTTGATCTCATAAAGCCATCTTCAGAGTGGTTATATGGACATTGAAACAAAGATATCCCCCGTCAAAGATGATATTTTGCTATGTTGACATAGAACATTGCTATGTGATGATAACAAATGATATCTTCTTCCAAAACCATATTCTATAAAGAATTAAATAACATTAAATTCCGTCACTGATCAATAAATTAAAATGTATCTCAATAAACTTAATAATACCACTAACCAAATTGATAATATTAATAATAATTGTAACTATAATAGTGTACATCAAAATAAACATAATACTATTAACTTATGCTAAGCAAATGCATAATAGTTACAAACATGATGAAACAAACACTCAAAAACATAATCAATAGAAATGTTAAACCCATTAATAATAAACAAGTTAAGCTCATCATATTTTATAAAAACTTTAAAACAATTGATCTCATAGTCTCTAATAAAGCTACAACCATACAATTAAATCCTCTACAAAAAATCAATGTAGTGTATCAATTTACATGCTCATTCAGAGATTGTATCTCTGATACTAATAATAAACCTGCTATATATATTGGTTATATTACAACCATGCTCTCCTGTAGACTTACCTGTCACCTTTCTGATCGTAAGCAACATTTCTTAAAAAAACCTAGCCATGTACATAATATTAGACAGATATTAGTTGATAACACAATAATACTCACACATACACACAGTAAAATGAACCTTCAGATATTGAAGGCCATCTACATTAAAATGAAGCAACCTACATTCAACAAAATTACATTTCAAACTAGTCACAACACATTACATTGCATCTAGACATAGGGTTTTGTTGTAATATTTTGGTCTCTTGTGTGGCATGATGTCATAGAACTACATCTTGAACTTATCAACTGCATCTGCTATTCTGCGACCGTTATCATTGCATATCAATCTTCTATGTCAAAATAACAAAATATCATATTTGATGGTGGATATCTTTGTTTCAATGTCTGTATAACCACTCTGAAAATGGCTCGTGTGAACCGAAAGCTTAGGACCAACTTCATAAAGAAATATCCAAATTTTGGACAATTTTTGTCTTTATTTTCACCAGAAATTTAAGCAAGCATACAAACTTTAGAAAGGCTCATGATCAGACATAATAGACATTCATTGTCTATTATATTTAATAATATATGTTTAAATAATGATCTGCTGCCCGAATACACTATAATATATATATATATATATACTCTTCATCACGTCAAACCTCAGTGAGGCACAACTCAAGTTCCTACTTAAGTGTCACACTCTCTTCCTACTTAAGTGTCACACTCTCATGATCTTCTAGTCACCTAATGATCACAGAAGCGTGAAACTTAAGTAGTGACTCAAGCTCTGTCTTATTGAGGGTGGATGTTGTGAAGTGTTGTTTTCTCTGTGTGGATAGACTAGGTGTTGAGCACTTTAATTTACTGCTTAGGTATGTGTTTGTCTTCTTTTTTTTTTTTCTGTTTTTCTTTCTCTAGTTTGGGATTTTTTCTTGTTTTAGGTCTTTTGGCAGGTAGTCCATTGGTCACAACAACCTTTTTTTTATTTTTTATTTTTTTTATTTTATTTTAGTTTTATTTTATTTTTTAATTTTATTTTCTTTTTTTTTTTCTTTTTTTTTTTTTTTTTTTTAATTTTTTTTTTTTTTTAAATTTTTAAAATTAAAAAAAAAATTTTTTTATTTTTTTGAAATTTTTTCCATATAGTGGAAAAAAACTGGCTTGTCACTTCCAATACTGCCAAAACCAAGTTAGTAACTTTTCATCGTCACTAAGTTAACCCTAAATTCTCGCCAGTTACAATGAATGGTTGCACTTTTAATGAGGCTCTTGGCTTTGAACATCTATTGATTTATTTATTTATTTATCTAATGGCATATCAACTGCTCTTGAGTCATTTAATGCCAAAATTTAATTTTCTTGGAAGCTTTGAAGTAATAAAAATGTTATTCTGCTTTCACAATTCATTACATGGTAGATGATACTCAGCTTTATTTGCATATAGATGTTTGTGTGTACATGATTACTAGAGGCAGTGATATATGTATTTTATGTTGTAGTTTTGTTGAAGTTATATTTTAGAATATCATTTCATTTAAGAAATTGTAGGATATTATATGGACTTCTAATGTCATGAAAGAGTTCTTTTATGTTGGTTGTTTGGCTTCTTGATTTTGTTTGGTGGTTTATCAACCTCTATGGGTTATTGAATGCTGAAATCTAAATATTTTGAACACAATTGTATGCCTTCAACTATAGATAATGTATTACTGGTAATTTCATTATAAATATGTATTATTGGTCATTCCACTAGAAATATGTATTGCTGGTAATTTTTTTAATATATAAAAACGTATTTTATGATTTTATAGTGTTTTGCTTTTTTTGGGAGGAGTGGGGTCACTATTTGCCCATAGCTGGGACCCTAACAGGTGCTACCACCCACAGGTCAGGGTGTACCTGAGAACAGCAATTAAGAGGTGGTTCCATGTTGAGCATCTATTGGGATTCAAGTTCATCCTAGACCGTGTGGAACTAATCTACAATAAATCTATGAAGATACTAGAAAGATGGTTGGCTCTGTATACAGCTCCACAAAGTACCTGACTCCTCCAGACATGTTCAGTCAGATCAAGCCAAAATTGGAGTATTGCTTCTATAGCTTGGCTTGGAACTTGCCAATCCACTCTTGTCAATCTAGACAGTTCAAAAGTGTTTGCATAGCCTTGTATGCAATGAATTATTTTCCACCCTAAAACTTCTCTCCCATAGACACATCACAACCCTCTCACTAATGTATCTGTCTATATTTCTGAGATGAGGTATTATGTACACTATTTACATTATTCAGACTATTGTCCTCATCTTTGTCACCATATTTATTACAACATTTCAGCCGTTATACGCTCCGGCCTTCTTCAGATGGTTGGAATGTTGAACTGAACCGTTTACTGGGGTAGACTGTTCTAGTTCCACGTGCCATGTCTAATGTATGCCAGTTATCAGTTATCTCCTGTTAATTTCCCTCTCCAAGTTCTCCACTGCCTTAACTGGGTATTGAACTCACACTCTTTGTGTCCTGTCACTGGATCTAACCAATGCCTTTATCCACTGTGCCATGTGTCCTTGAAGACGTGATAGGACCCAAAGTGTGAGTTCAATACTGATGTATTGACGCACCCTGGTAATTATTTCCACTATCATGTCTCGAAGGGAAGCATCATTTGTTTTGTCATCCCAGCTGGAAGTGACAGCAGTCACCCTACGTTTGATAAAGGCAGTCGCAATGTGAATCCAACCGCCCACAGGAAAATGTCTCACCAGCTTTCCACATAACGAGAACACACTACATCGTATCATGTGTCTGGGAATGTCTGGGAGCTTGCTTCCATGTTTTCAGTAAAGCATGTTATGCTCACCGCAGACCTGCAAGCCGAGCATATGAGCATCGTATTCCAGTCATTCTGGGTTCTTACACTCAAGTCCAAAGTCAGCAAGATGCTGTCTCACCTGCGCAGCGGACACTAAGGCTTCACTGGTGTAGATGTCGTCAATGTAAGCTGACATCGCTTGACGAATTGTCTCATCCTTGGATAGCACAGCTTCCATGATAGTTTTCATGATAGCCGGCGCCACATTGAGCCCGGATCCCAGGCAGTATCTCCTCCCGTTAAGGATCACTGTCTGAAATGGCCACGGTGACCGGTGCACATGTACCTGCAAGTAGGCCTTTGGAAGGTCAATCACAGAGACATTGGACCCCTTTCTTCTCCATTCTCTCAATTTTTGGTGTACACACATCAGCATGAGCTGTGTATGCATCTACATGTTCGTTCAGTTCTCTATAATCTAGTACAGGACACACCTTTCCCTTGTTCTTCTGTACCACAGCCATCAACACGATGAGGCCTCTTGGAGGACCAAGTTCTTCCTCAGGATACGGAGTCAGCCATCCGTTATCCAGCCACACCTGCAATTCGCGCTGGTATTCTTCCTTGATGCGTTTGGGCACTGAGTACACTGACACTTGGTTCTGGAGCTTTTCTGGTGGGTTATTTTCCGACCATTTCTACAGTGCTTCCCATGTCTTCATCTTTTGGTCAAACTCTGCGCTAAAGTCTGGCTCGTTGATCTTCAAAGCAGCACAGATGGGTGCACTAGAAAACTTGACTTCGCCCGCTTCTGTGATGCATACTCTGCCCAGCTCCTTAATAATGTCCATCCCAAGGAGCATGTCAAAACCTAATAACGTGCTGTCCACAACCAACACACTGACTGTGATGGGGTTGCCATTGTTGATACTGAGTGTAATGTTTCCAACTCTCTGGCTCCTGATAGCCTTTCCATTGTACATCCATCTTTCGGCAATAGATTTCTTCTGTCTTTTGACGGCAACACTTGTAGCCATATCACAGTTCAAACGATAGTCCATCGTAACAGTCCAACAGGTAACGTAGAAAACGACAAAATGGTGTCACAAATCCAACTGTCACTTCTCAACAGCAAAAACGTGTGTTCGTCCACCAAGCTTGGAAAATGAAAATCCCTGCATAAGCGAAAAACAACACGAGATTTTTCTGATTGCTCATGCCATTCAGGGGAGGGAAGAAGATTAGCATAGATTCTAGTCCTTGATTTTTGCTATTTTTTGGTAATTATCCTTCAGCAGATCGCACACAAAGCACAAACTCTTTTTTGAGGTAGATGATTATTTCTTTCACTACAATATATAATGCAGGAAATTGAATGCCTCCGTGTAGCACAGTTCCATGATTAACATAAGAAAACGGTTAGTTTTATTTGCATCCCCCCAACTCTATATTTGTAATTTATATTTGAAAAACCTTTTGATTTTTTAATGTATGCAAAATAATGTTCATACTATTGAGCCTTGTTCTTTTCTCATGGATTGTAAAAAATGGCTGAAGAACGCATCAGCCATATGTTGTATTGATATCATCAAATATATAAAGATATCAAATGATATATAAAGAAAGTATTTAGTTTCTGAGCAAAATTTGGTATGTCAATAATTTTACTCAAAGTTAAAATGTTTCTGTTTTGTTGATTTTGTGTTATTTTTGTTTTTTTTTTCCTATTTTGTATTTCTTTTTTGTGTTTCTTATTTTATTTTCTATTTTGATTTAGTTCTGTTTAGTGATTTGATTTGGTTCTGTTTAGTGTTGTCTTTCCGTTCTGTTTAGTGTTATTTTTACTGTCTTCTTTTTCATCTTGATTTGTTTTTCTTTTTTTTTCTCAATTTCTATCAAATTGAAAGCCTTTTTCAACCTGATTCCTTTCTTTGCTTCTAGGGATAACAGACCGCAGGTGAATGTTCAGGATTATACAATCTCCAATGTGAAAGACAACTGTGTGGGTCGAATGCCAGGAACAGTTGAGGGTCAACAATTCATTATAGAGAAATGTGAAGTAAGCATTTTTTTTTTTTTTTCACATTCAAATGGCATCTGTTTCATATTCCTACTGAATGAGAAATTCAGGTTTTCATAAAAATTTAAACAATTACACGTTTCATCTTAGCTGATTAAGTGATTTGAAATAACTACAATTCAAACTGTAAAACATTTGAATGGATTAAAAGTATTTATTTTACATAAAGAATCAATATATTTCAATAATGCTTTATTAATATCTTCCCATAAAACAATATTACCTGAGTGTGTAAATAAATAAAAATCAAAGATACAATTAAATTTACTTCAACATTACCTTTCCTTGATATCCTGTTAAACTATATAGATAATTGTTATATTTTCGTAAAGAAAATAAAAGAAAAGAAAATAGGAAACTATCTTTACTGTCCATGTCAAATAGGAAACTATCTTTACTGTCCACGTGACTTTTTCACACGTCCCCATTCCTCTTTAAAAGCTGCGTTCTTCTTCCTTTGTTGATTAACTGCCCTCATAGACACCGGTAGTTCTGATAACTTTATCAGTGCCCGTATTGTTAAAACAATGAAACTGTCTACTTCTAAACGGAATTCCGTAATTTCCATGGCTTCATCTGCCATTTCCTTCAAACTATCTGAATATTGTACTGAGGACATTATCTTCAATGGTTACGAATATAAACAAATTGACTTTACAGTACTTCCTGATTCCTGTATGGATATTATACTCGGAGTGCCCTTCTTAAAACTACACCAGAGTATCACTATTTCTTTTTGGTGGATCTCAGGATATTCTAAAATCTGCGCTCTAACCAAGATCAGTTGTGCTCCTGTTAAGTTGTTCGAAACTTGACCCCTGATTGCAAACCTATTGCTACTAAATCCCGAAATTACCGTGCGGAGGATGGTTGGTTCATTGAAAAAGAAATTCTACAACTGCTTAAGGATGATATAATTGAAACAAGTTACTCTCCGTGGTGTGCTCAAATTGTCGTAAACCGTCACCTAATAAAAAAAACGATTGGTAGTCGATTTCTCCCAGACTATTAATCGGTTCACCTTACTTGATGCCTACCCTTGCCTCGAATTGAAGATCTCGTAAACCAAATAGCCCAGTATCGTATCTATAGTATAATTGACTTGTCCAAAGCATACTATCAGATTGAAATTTGCCCTGAAGATCGTCCCTATACGGCCTTTCAAGCTGGAAACTGTCTGTACCAATTTAAACGAATACCCATGGGTGTTACTAACGGGGTTTCTGCCTTTCAGCGATTTATGAATTCTTTCATTTCTGATAACAAATTATCTGGAACCTTTTCGCATATAGATGATATAACTGTTTGTGGTAAAACCCAGGAGGAGCACGATGTCAATTTGGAATGTTTCTTAAAGGCTGCCTCGACATACAACCTCGAAATAAACCGGGAAAAATCAGAGTTTTCACCCGTTCTATTAACGTGCTTGGATATCAAATTTTAACGGAACTATCCAACCCGATCCTGAGCGTTTGAAGCCACTTTTACAAATGCCTCCTCCTCCGACTCAAATTCGTTAAAAAAGGTGTCTTGGTATGTTTGCTTACTATGCGAAATGGATACCTAAATATTCACACAAAATTCGTCCACTGGTCGAAAATAAACAATTCCCTATGCCTCCTATAGTTATAAATTCTTTGAAAAACTTAAGAAAGACATTGCCGAGTCATCTGTAAAAGTTATTGATGATGAATTGCCATTTACTATTGAAACCGATGCCTCAGAAAAGGCTATTGGGCACTCTTTTACAAGCTGAGCGACCTGTAGCATTCTTTTCTTGGTCGCTAAACCCCTCTGAAATCTGACTTCACATAGTCGAAAAAAGAAGCATATGCTATAGTACAATAATGCGTTCGTAAATGGAGAGACACCTTGCCGGTAAACATTTTACTATTATTACTGGTCAACAAGCCGTATCTTTTATGTTTAAACCTGCTAATCGCGGAAAAAGTAAAAACGATAAAATTATAAGGTGGAAAATGGAACTTCTTCCCTTTTCATACGACATAAAACACTGTCCTGGAAATGAAAACACAGTTGCGGATACCTTATCCAGAGTATGTGGTGCTGCTGCTTCTTCCTTGAAGGAACTTAAATCGATACCACGATTCCTTAATACATCCTGGGGTACAGCGCTTTTGGCATTTTTTGTAAGGTCTCAGAATATGCCATATTAGCTTGATGAAGTCGACGTGTGACTTCTGAATGATATGCGACCTGTGCCAAAAAATAAAACCCCAATTCTTCGATTCTACTAGTAATGTTCTGATCCGTTCTACTGCGCCATTTCAGCGTCTCTCCATAGACTACAAAGGGCCTGTCGGTATCACCGACAGGTTACCGATATATGCTTACTGTCATCGACAAATATAGTCGATTTCCTTTGCCTTTCCTTGCCGCGATTGCTCTTCGCAAACTGCTATTCAGTGCCTGACAAATATTTTCTCCATTTTGGGCTTCCCTCGTTCATTCACTCCGATCGAGGAACTTCGTTTATGTCAGGAGAATTTAAACAATTTCTAACACGACTTGGAATTGGATTCAGTAATACTACTGCTTATAACCCTAGAGGCAATAGCCAATGCGAGCGTTACAACGGCATAATTTGGAATACCATATTATTGGCCCTGGAATCGAAACGGTTACCAATTAGTGCTTGGCAGGATGTTCTACATGATGTGTTAAATGCTATCCGCTCTCTACTATGTACCACTACGAATGCAACCCCCACGAGCGAATGTTCAATTTTGAAAGGCGGTCCTCCACGGTACTGCGTTGCCTGTTTGGCTCTGTGAGCCTGGGGAGGTATTATTAAAGCGATTCGATGGCAGAAGTAAATATGACCCTATCGTTGAGGTGGTGGAACTCCTTGAGGCCAATCCTACGCATGCCAAAATACGTCACAATGATGGCGGGAAGATTCGGTGGCGCTGAGGCGGTTGGTACGTTTTTCCACGCCGGATGGACCTCAAAATGGACCTGAAAATACTCAACCCAATGTGGACCCACGCCAGATTCAACCCTTTTGCCTGATGCAGGTCCGTTAATATTTCTTCACCTTCCACGGAAAATGAATCTGTGAATAATAGCCAGAATCCTGAAAGTCAGCCTTCTCAGAGATCTGGCTCTTCCAGTGGTGAACTACCTCTACGCCGGTCTAGCAGGATTCGTAGACCAATCCAACGACTGGAATTATAAAACCTATTCAATTACGATCTCTTTTGCAAGTGGGGAGAATGTTATATTTTCGTAAAAAAAAATAAAAGAAAAGAAAATAGGAAACTATCTTTACTGTCCACGTCAAATAGGAAACTATCTTTACTGTCCACGTGACTTTTTCACACGTCCCCATTCCTCTTTAAAAGCTGCGTTCTTCTTCCTTTGTTGATTGCTGCTGTGAATTAAGTTCAGTAAAGCCTTAGTGAAAGGTTACTAGCTTTCTTCTCTGAGCAACGTAACAATAATGATCTAAACCTAAATGTCGATCAAAAAAAGGAACCAACAAAAATGATCTCATAGACTTCTATTTTCACCACAACAAAATAAAATCCAGTATAATGATCAGTTTTTACTTGAGAAGACTTTAAATTTGTAGCCCTGAATATTTCAATGATTAAAGAATACAGTGGAACCTTGGGTCACAAATGCCTCTCATCACAAAAAATTGGGTGATGAACAGTGTCTCAAACATCAAACATGCTAGCTGGTAAAAAAATAGGGTGAGATGCAAAGTTTTGTGGAACAATATCCCCCTGATAAATCAGTAGCAAGCCGCAGCATAAACATTTTCAGTGACAATGCCATGTCTCACTTTAGAAATTTTTTAAAGCGTAGACAAAAAAAAAATCCCATTTGAAAAAACTTTAATGAGACATCAGCCCCATAAGTCTTAAGTAGAGTTGTATGGTGCTAAGTGACCAAAGAGAAAGAAAAGAAACCAAAGAGAGACAGTTACCTGATGTTTTTAGCAGGGCTGCGGAGTTGGAACAAAAAATCTCCAACTCCTTTATTTTTTGTACCTCCTACTGTCACTCCTCTTTTTGTAATTAAGTAATTATGGCTTACATATCTCATAAAACCTATGCAAGCACTCCTAACTTGAGTAACCTGTATTATTATAACTAGTCCTTTGGTCCTTTCATGTGTTATACTAGTTCAATCAGTGCTTGTTTTCCTACATCAGTTTGTTCACTGCTTAGTAGGATTCAGTTCATTGGATCAACATAAATACCAGTTAGCAAAAATTTATTGTCCATTAAGAGAGAATCTCTTCTTTTCATTGAAAAAACAACAATATCATTAGCAATTAATCCTCCTTTTTTGTTCAGACTAAATATCAACTTTTTTCACTCCAACAAGAATCCACCAGGGCTTAATTTCTCACATTGCATTTTCTTAGTGACGACATAACGCTGATAAAGTAGACTTTCTAGTTTTTGTACTTATGCCCACTAGTTATCAGTTAGTGAAACATTCTGCTTATCTAGATCTTCCAGGAAAGCTTTTAGTTCAAGTAAGCGTTTGATCATCAAATAGGTGCTACCCCAACGTAGAAAGAAAAGTCTACGTTAATGTGATAAATAGAATCTGTAAATGTGTTAAATTAGAATGACTTTATACATTTATCAAATCTGTCTGAGTCAGTATAGTTTTTCCCGACTCTGACTCCACGGCCCTGGTTTTTAGGGAAGGGGACTCCCCTTCCAAACAATAACATCTCTTCCCTTTCTCACTACCTTCCATTTATGCCATCAACTCGACTCTGTACAAGTTTTTATCTGTTTAGTATTGTCTTTATTTTTTCGTATTAGATTTAATGATTTTTTGTTGGTTTTTTGTATGAACTTATGCGCAAAATACTGTTTTAAATTTTAAATAAGCAATTATCTGGGGCCCAGTAGTGCATTAATCCTTTTTACGTTGCTTCCTATGAGGAAAATAGTTTCGGCTTGCGAACAGCCTTCAGGAATGAATTAAAT